TGCGAATTAGCCTGCGTGGCTTACTTTACAAACAATTAGTAATCATTTCAACATTTTGAACTTGGGACAATGTCCAGAAGTAAGTTAAAATAAGCATAGCAATGAAAACAGTGAAAACTGCTTTGAACGACAGATATTCATATCTTAATTTACTCTTAATAACTCCGAGTTAGCATCAACGATTTAATCGGTGTTGAATAACTTGTCCCAGCTCTATAAGTTTTCAAGGAAGGCTGATTGGACACACGTTTTCATTGGAGTTAATTTTTGCTTTTCAACCTGCAAACGCAGATATATTTTCGTTGATTACTTTCGGGGCTTAGAAACAAGACAAACTTTCGGTTGGGGAAACTCAAACTAATAAAATCAGCCGTGAAATCATAACTGAAGGGCCCAGTGACTGGAGACTTGTCATCTCCTTGACAATCCTGGAAATGGGTTATCGTTTTGCGAACAACCTGCTCACTAATTTATGCACCGAAGACAATAAATTGCAACGTCTAATGTGACGATGGAAGTTGAAAACTGTCACGTTTTCTTGGCATCATCTTGAAAAGCTAGGCAAAGGGAGAAAGATATCAGGAGACCCAACAGCAAGCCAAAGCAAAATGAAAATAGCTAAATATCAAACGTAACAATTGGAAAAATAAGTTCCTTCGTCACACAACGCTTTGCACAAGAAGCGTGACGACGAGGTTTCAAATTTTGCGCATCGATCAGGATAACTTTAATTTTTTTCAAACTTTTTTTTGTAATATTTAACTCCACAAAGATTTAGATCCTATAGTTATGAAATACTGCTTGTATTATTTAATTTTTTCAACATATGACAGGCAATGGTTGTGCTTTTAAGACAGGCCAATGTTTGCAGATAAGTTCTTGGAGAACGTACAACTTTATAAAAGAGCTGTATGTCTCTTTGTGTAAGTGCTAAGTCACTTGTTTCGCTGTACGCAATAGCCTTCAAATGGAAGAAATCTCAAAATATTGCTACAACGGTAGGAGAACTCTAAGTAGGTAATAATAATAAGGAAATAAGCAACAGGGCTGGTCAAGAAGAACTTTTCTGTTTAGTCAGGGCTTTGGTAAGGTTTTGGAGCCGGGGTAGCTCTTTGTGCCCTTCCCCCTCCCCCTACGTACTCCAAAACTATTGTCTCATTTAATTTACATGATGTTTAAAGCATCCAAAGTTGTTTACCTCAGTGATAATCACGTGTCAATCAAAAGATCACATGAAGCCAAAATGAGGTCGCACAATTCAGAATTTTCCGCCATCTTGGATCCGCCATTTTTGTTTAAAAACTGTCTTGCATGATCAAGTTTGGGAAAATCAACAAAGTTTAACTCCTATTGCTTGTATGATGTATGCAACAAAAGTCTGAGATCAGAAGTGGCAATTGAAGATCCCACTGGCAGGCTAAATAGGTGAACATGTCTTATGCTTCTTTTCAAATTGTGGCATCCGTAACCTAACTGAATTAATTAACAGAACAATAGGTGTCCTGGCAATGGTACATCTAGTAATTTTTGTATACCTTTGTTGCGTTTCGTTATATATATGAGATAATGTCATGTTTATATGACAGGTTCAAAGTCGATTACAAATAACTTACGTAATTGTTGCTGTAGTAATGACAGCCTAATTTGTACTGAAATTAATTAAGGAAATTTATAAAAAAAAAATTGAAAAATAAGAAAATGGCGGGCTGTATTAATTGCTTCACTTCTTCATTGTCGGCAAGTTTTTTTTTTTTTTTTTTTTT